TTTGAAACTTCAAAGCCAATTAAATATCTTGACAGAAGCCAAATCAGCCACGCAGTGTTGGCTGTGCTCTTTCGTAGCACATTAGCTGCTTCATTCAGACACCCCCGCACAGGATCAGACTTCCGGCGCCACCTCCAGAGTCGTCAGCCTCATCGCCAGCGTCAGCATGCGGCTGTCGGGCTACTCTTGCAGGGCCTCGAGCCGCGCTGCCTTGTGTGGACAGCTTTCGGGACACCCCGAGGCGCTGCACCTCGCTGCGCGTGGCCGGTCTGTGTCCTCTCGTGCCTGCACATCCGCGCTCGTTTCTCAGGTTCCCTGCCTTTTAGAATTGAGCACGGTGGCTTATTGGAATCGTTATGCACAACACACTTTCTGGCATTCCAAATAAACTGGTACTTTTCCATCGTCCAGTTTTGTGATTATCAGCATTAGCCAGAGGGAAAGACATTTAAGTGGTGTGTCTGTTATGTGGTAGGCGCTCAGTAAATAAATACATCAGCTCCATTTGGAAGTCTTATGTTTGTCTCAAACCCAACACGTGAAAAACTAGTTACTAATCTTTCCCTATAAAATCTGTTCCTTCCCCATTTCATTTGACGGCAAATCCATCATTCTAGAACACAGGCTTCAGTGCCATCCTTGATTCCTGTTTCTCTGACATTGCCTATCCAATCTGTCAGGAAACCTGGAAGCGGACAGCTTCTTACCATCTCTACAGTCTCATCTGGTCTCAGCCTTACTCTTTGTCTATATTGCTGAATACACCTCTAACTGGTCCCTCTGTGTTGGCTTTTGGCTCCTTGTATCTTAGCAGCCAGAAGAATCCTGGAAAAGTGTGTCAGAGCATGCTATCTTTCGGCTAAAAAGCCACCAGTGGCCCTCCGTTTTCTGGGAGTAGCCCAGATGGTTACAACAGTCTACAAGCTCTGTAGGGCTGGCTCTTCATCCCGTTCCCTCCGGGAACCCATTTCAGGGTCTCTGACCTTTCCCCTCAAGCCCTCCGCTTCGTGCTGCCAAGCCTCCTAGGCACAGTCCTGTGGTCGGGCCTCCGTGCGGGCCGTTCCCTCTGACCGGACGGCTCTCCTCCCACGTCTTGCTGAGGCCTTCGCCTTCTTGAGGTGTGTGCGTTTCGTGCCACTTTCTCAGTGGAGCTGCTGTGACCACGCTGTTTAGTGTTGCAGCAGAACCTCCACCCCACCACTCCCAGTTCTTGTTACCCTGCTCAGCTTTGCCTTCCCCCGTGTTTCTCATAGTTAGCATAGAGTACAGCCTGTATTTTAATGCTTTGGCTTATTGTCTGTCTCCTCCAACTAGAATTTGAGTGGAACAAAGGCAGAGATCTATTTTCAGTTTTGTTCGCTGAAGTGTCCTAGCTGCCTAGAAGAAAAAAGTATGCACACTGAATAAATACCTTGTCTGAACTCTTTGCTTTCTGTACTCCCAAGTTATGCTTAAGTTTAAAAAAAAATTAACAGAATAAAGGAAAACTTAACTTGACGAAAAGGTGTCAGGCAAAAAGTATCCACAGTCTGAAATAAGTTGCTAAAAGCATTAGCTTTAAATTCCTCATTTTATTAATGAGTATAATTATTATGTTAAAAGATTTGTGTGACTTTTAAATGAATGATATGCATGAAAGCAGTCAACAGCCAAGAACCGAGAGATTCCTCAGCTCTTAGGTCTAAGCTCTTTGACACTTAGGAGCCACTTACCCACTCTCCTCCCGATGTTGTTCCTCTGAAAATCTCTTTTTGTCTTAAGTTTGAAGTGGTCAGCAAACACTGAGAAGAGGAAAAAAGCTCTGACGGTTTGTTTATAAAGGGTAGTAGAAATTATAGTGCACCACTTTTTTATAGGAACATTGAGATCACAGTCACTGCAGATGACTTGTAAACTTAGAATGGAGAGAGCTGACACTTGTGTTTAGATTGAGCTGTCAAGTATCTGCTTTCTTGAGAACCGAAGTTGGACCTGCTGCTCCTTAAAAAAAAACAACGCAGTTTCTTGGCAAGTGAGAAACAGTTGTTTAGATTTACATGGCTGAAATTCAGGACAATGCAAGCTTTCCTTCCCTCCACTGTTTTTACTAGTAAATTCTGTAAAAAATAAAATGTGGGTTCCTTGATGTACCCACTTAGGCCTGGTACTATTTCTTCTCCGAAATACTAGGAACTGGATGAAAAGGCAAACATTGGCATGGCGAAGCCCTCCCGTTGGCCAGGCATGGTGGGGAGTGCCAGCTAGCAAGGTGGGGCATCCTGGAAATCGACAGATCAGGAAACGAACACGTGATCGCATGGTGTTGTTTAAGTTTACCTCTGGGGAGGCAGCCTGTGGGGCTCAACAGGAACCTTTCACATTCTTTATAGTTACTGCGAATTTTTCTTTCACTCTTTATTTCCCCTCTACTTCTATTCCTGGCCTTAAAGCTGGAATAGTGGAGAGGGGAGTGTTGCTTGAAAACGACAAAGTAACCAGGCTAACTTCGGCTGGACTCGCGGGTACTAAAGAAAAGAACTAAATTTCACCAAAGGAAGAGGGAAAGTATTGGATTTAGGGTCTTTATCTACTCTAGATGCAGGTGTTTGGTTTTCGTAAGTCTTTATGAACAGCACAAGGTGGTCTTATGTATTGGTGGCTGGTCCTGCCACGCGAGCTTCTCTGTAAGGGAGCCTGTGACTTAGCTGCATCGGAAGGAATTACATTTCAATATTCGTAGCGCACTACATAATGGGCACATTAGTTAAGTTTGTATTTCAGTTTTTAAAACTTCAACTAGCAGTGGTCAAAATATTTAAACCAAGGAAATATCCAGTAAAACTCTTATCTCTGGAAGCAGATGACGGGGTCTATGCCATACCTCTGCTTTAGATGGTCGAGACAAGCTCTCCACTGTTAGGTGTTACTCAGCCCTTTACTATTCACTTTAGTTGTTATGCAAGCTGGTTTCCTTGGTTTGCTTTTTTAATTTATGGTTTTCTCACAGGTTGTGCCATTGTTTGCTCTATCTTGGAACCAAAGAATCTGGGAAAAGGTTCAAGTCTTTTTAATGTGGGTTTTCCCAAGCCTGAAGTTTCTTCGATAGGAGTATATAGAAATAAGCTGGAATCTGGTACTAATAAAAATCATATATTTACGTAATATAGTTATGTATACACCCAGTATTTATATGTGTAGATACAAATGTGTTAAAATTTATATGGTTTTCTATATATTTGTCATTCAATAGATATGTCCATAGAGGGTGCCAAAAATATATATATATACATCTTAAGAAATCCCAGCACTTTAGGAGGCCAAGGCGAGTGGATTGCCTGAATCCGTGGGTTTGAGACCAGCCCAGGCAAATTGATGAGACCTTGTCTCTACAATAAATCAAAAAAATTAGCCAGGTGTGGTAGTGCACGCCAGTAGTTCCGGCTCCTTGGAAGACTGAGGCAGAAGGGTCGCTGGAGCCCAGCAGGTCGAGGCTGCTGTGGCCAGGAGTGTGCCTCTGCACTCCAGCCTGGGCGACAGGGTGAGACTCCAACTCAAAAAAAAAAAAAAAAAAAAAAAGAAAGAAAGAAAGAAAGGAAAAAACTGCATTAAAATTGTAACACTTAATGAGTACAAGTCACGTTTGACTTCTGCAATTATAAGAGATGCTCAAAGTGTTTACCATCAGCGTCTAGACACTTCTGATTATGGTGAACTTCTCTTAAAATGTGTGTACATTGTTTGGGATCCCCAGTATACTATTATAATAAAAAAGTAAATTATTTTTCCTTATTTCTTTTGAAGTGAATAAATTGTTGATTTTTCCCCCTAGAGTCCACTAAGTATCAACAGTGCTATACTGTGAAGTTGATTCTTGAACATTTACCTTAAATAATGTGGCAGCCTACTAGACCCCATTACTTGGAATATTATTTCCAAGTCTAACTATCTGAAAGCCAGCTATTTTTTTTCCTGATAAATAGTTGAATTGAAATAAAAAGGCAGAGTCCCTTACTTCCCTCAGAGACTACTAGAAATCAATAAGTTCTACATTATTTATTCCTCTCTGTCTATGAGTGTTTGGCAATTGCCAGTCATAAGTAATATAATGTTCCAATATAATTTTTTGGCATTATATACCAATAGCTTCTTTCTATACAATAAATGATTCTTTTTATCCCTTAAAACAATGTTAGCCACTAAAAGTTTTTGTTACAACTTAGGAAGTCAGTTCTGTTTCTGTGAATAAGTGTTAACAAACCTCCTATTTTTTGAGTTGGAGTCTCACTCTGTCACACAGGCTGGAGGGCAGTGGCACGCTCACAGTCACCCCAACGTTGGCCTGCTGGGCTCCGGGATCCTTCTGCTCAGCCTTCCAAGTAGCTGGAACTACAGGCATGTGCTACCACGCCCAGCTAAATTTTTTATTTATTGTAGAGACGAGGTCTCGCCAAGTTGCCCGGGCTGGTCTCGAACCCGTGGGCTCAGGCAGTTCACTTGCCTCAGCCTCCCAAAGTGCTGGGATGACAGGCTGAGCCACCAAGCCTGACCCTCCTCCTTTTTTATAGCCAGTTCACACCGGAACTCTGATAAAAGTAAAAATGACCTTGACTGGTATCCTGCGTTGGGATGGGGAGCACTGTGGGTGGACCGTAAGGGCTACTGGAAGCCACAGCTTGGGGCTTCCCTGTGTATGTTCTTGTCAGTGCTGAGGGTGTCCTTCCTTGTGGTGAACCGTGTGGTCTTGCTGCCTAACACCTGACCTGTCTGTTGCAGGAGCTGGAGAATGGTCCCTGGAGTCCTTGACACTGTCCTGCTGGCAGCTGTGCTCCTGGCCCGCATCCTTCCTGGAACTCGTCTGTGTCACATTTTGGCCTGATGAGTCTTGTTAGTTTGATTGTCCCGCTGAACCCAAGACCACTCACTGCTACTGGTTGAGCAGACAGGCATTTTACTGTCTGATATTACTGTTTGATAGGAAAAGTGTGATGGTAATAACACGTAATTCTTCCTTTATTTTTCAGAAATGTGTTACAGATGAGTGTTTCTTTTTTGAACGATTGGAATCCAATAACTACAATACTTACCGGTCAAGGAAATACTCCAGTTGGTATGTGGCACTGAAACGAACCGGGCAGTATAAACTTGGATCCAAGACAGGACCGGGGCAGAAAGCTATACTTTTTCTTCCAATGTCGGCTAAGAGCTGATCTTAAAGGCAATACTTGATCTCATTTCACGTGAAAGAAGAAGTATATTTTAGAAGTTTTTTAATGAGAGGAAAAGAAAATACATGTGCACAGCTCAGTTTGGATAACTGGTCGACAACTTTTTATCCAGTAGTAAAATATTTAACCAGTAGTAAAATGGTCTGAGTAAAGAAAAATAGCAAAAATTCTTGGAAAATGTAGACTCACCCTTTTTATATAGCACTTGCTATTACCCAGTAAAGCTTACCTAGAGCTACAATCCTCTCCAAATGTTTATTTGCTTTATTTGAAAAGAGGCTTTTAAGATGTGCACATTTGTATGCAAGTTTTCTTCTTGGAAATCATCTGCCTTAGAAAATTAGAGTCAAGTATTTAATCAACTTCAAACATTCTCTGCTTATAGTATGGCGTTCGCTAATCCACGTGTACAGTCACTTAGAACTTTCTTTCTAAACATGTTATGTGCCTTCAGTCCACTCCTGTCAGAGTTTTGTACTTCTCTGGCAGTTCCTTATGATAGAGCTTGTAGAACAGGCCTGTGTAAACCGCTGGAAGTTCCTCCATGGTCAGATCAATCTTGTCAAACCCTTCTCTGTGCCCGTAGAGCAGCAGCCTGGCAACTCTGCTGGTGATGGGAGTCGCATTTTCGGTCTTGACCAGGTTGCTGAGATCCATCCATTCACATCTCAAGCATTCATGCTGGCAAAAGTTTATGGTGAATGAATACGGCTTTAGGCGGCAGATGATATACATATCTGACTTCCCAAAAGCTCCGGGACTTGTGTGCTGTTGCCGAATACTCAGGAGGGACCGGAATTCTGACTTTATACCAGTCTCTTCCAAAACTTCTCGAACTGCTGTGTCTCCTGCGTGAAAGGGAGATGTACGGATCAGTAAGGATCACATTATTAGAAACTTCAGCATCAAAGATCTGCAGCTACAGAAGCAGCATCTGAAGGTTCAAAATCAAAGCACCCCCCTAAGAAAGTAAAGTTTCAGCACAAACGCTCCTCCTTCAGACCTCCTGAAGTACCGAAGTGTTTTCTTACCATTACACATTTAAGAAGCTTTTGAAATACTATTTGTCTTGCTGCTACTTGAAGGCTTATCTACTTGTACATTTTGGGGTGACCTCTACTTAGCCTCTCCCTGCTCTAGTTCCCAAAAGGCAAAAACATACATTGTAATACTTCAAACATGTTGCAAAGCCACAGTTAACATTCGAATGTATTTCTTCATTGTCATCCCATTCCTGACTGTCCATCAAAACTTCCTCTTCTTCCTTGTAAAGGTCTGTCGGGCTGTAGAATGTATCGAACCACGAAACAATTCTAAGCTCTCCTTGTGATTCCAGGTGGGACTTTCACGCCTCCAAGTAGGAGCAGATTCTTTTATAAACACACATTCTTTCTGCTCCTCTGGTTATCTGTCAGCAAAACCCCATAATAGTGATTTTTGACATTTTCTTTGTTTCTTGAGATAAGATTCCAAAAAACTTGGATTCATTCCTTTAATATCAAAATGCTCTATTTGTTTCATCAGAAGTTTTTTAAAAGCTTGGAAAATATAGAATTTTATAATACAACAAAGGTTCTCACATTGTATATAAGGACGATTTTCCAGTTAAGTGCACATTTTTATGGCAGAATTTTTGTTGCCATGAACATATTTTTGTGGCTCCTTTTTTAAAACATCTAAATGAACCCCCTAAATATGGACTCACCCCATTTCTGTGATGTCATTGTCTCCCAAAGCATTTATGAGAAGCCCTCAAAAAGCTCCTTATCTTGACCATTTTGCTGGGAATTGTCATAGACAAGGATTTTTGTTCAAATATCCTTTAATGCCTCCACCGTTCTTGTCAGATAGTAAATTATATTTGCCTTCTCAGTAATCCTACTCGTGAAAAACAGGCCAAAGAGGAAGTCACAGAAACATGTCTTACTTCCTAAGTGCCCTGACTCGTAGAATGTCTTACCAGTCCCCTGGCTATGCTCTTGTTTTTCTCTCTGAGAAACAGCTATGGAAAGATGCACGGAAAAAGTGCTTTAAGATAGAAGACATTTATCTGCCATTTTTCAGTTATGTGCTGACATCTACCCATGGATTACACATGGTTAGAAATTGCGTTTTTAAACTGAAAGCATAGAAGGAGAATAAAAATAATTTTTAATGTGGCGTACATGTTTGTTCAATGTATTATTAAAAATTATGGCACTAGCCTTACAGTTTGCACAGTATCCCCTAAATGTTGTTTAGATGTTTATTTTTATTCTCTAAATGCTTTGAAAAATAACCATGGAGATCCTGTTTAGCTCTTGGTACCCCTAACCAAGAGGTCAGCACTTAGCTCGTGAGTGTAGGCTGTTTATACATCACAGAACACTGGGCAGGCTAGTGAGTGTTGCCTTGCCTTGCAGCCACCATAACAGCTGACTGAAAACGAGTGTTTTGCCTGGGTACTTTGATCATTTTAACTTGAATTGGCAAGTCACTGACTGGACTAAAGATTGGATGGGCACATAAATGCTTTTGTATCCAAGGCATGGAATTTCCTCAAGCTGGAAAACTTTTCCCCAAGTATTCCAACATGGATTTAATTATTTTTATCTGGATAAAGTACTTTATTCTGTTGCACTTTTATTACTTTAATATACTGTAAGCTAAACTGAAATAATACTGTTTTCTAGGTCTGAAGAGCACAGGAAAAACTAAGAGGTTTTTATTTTTATCAGGATCAAGAGATTTGTTTAACTATGTCATATTGTTTTGTTTAGTTACAGGACAGTAATGAAATGGAGTTTATATTTGCTATTTCCATTTTGTAATACTTAATAACAGGATCGGGTTGAAATAAAATGTAACAGGAAAAATTATGCAGAATGTGGGTTTTCCTGGTGTGCACTGATGATCTCTGATCAGCTCAGCTGCTTTATAGCTCTTTGGCTAATAATAGGAGAGTCTCCTGTCAGAGGTAATGAGATTCTAGGAAGCAGTTTGTCCATTTTAATCTAGTAGTTACCTTTATACTCTTGGAGTGTTACTTTGTAGGAGAGCACTGAGGATTGTATTGTTTTGTACATGACCCTCTTAATTTTTTAATAACACGACAGATAATAACGCTTTATTTGCCTAGTACTGTCAAAGGATAAGGATTCCAAACAACTGTGCTTCCCAGTTAGCTAGTGTTTACTTTTCAAGGGCCAATATAAATGCTTAACTGTTTGTGATGGCAGTATTCCGAAAGCATAGTATAAACTTTCTTGCATACACGGTTTAAAGAAAATAATTTCAATCATTCTTGGGTGATCTGTCCTCTTCATACTATTTGATTATTTTATGAAACAGAAATGCTATCATCTAGACAGTCATTAAGACCCCCACTGTCGGTTATCATTTCTAGTTGCTTTCAATGTTTTATCAATTCTGAGGCAAAGCTTTAGTGTACACTATGCCTAGGAAGTAGGTTGATGCTAGTTGCAGGTTTCTTAATTTCACATGCCTGAGGCATACATATGATCTCTGGGTAGGTGGTTGTGACAACCATAATACTTTTTCTAAAATTTTTAATTTTTCTGGAATTTTTACTTATCTGGACTTAAAGAAGGGTTCGAAGTATACTTAAACCTAAAGTTACACATATTTGACTTGGAAATGTATTTCTTCAATTACATCTAAAAATAAGCGTAACTGAAATTCAGAGGACCCATAAAAGTTTAAATTAAAAAAATCAGTTTGTTTGAGAAGGCAAGACTCAGGAACAGAAGCTACACAAACCTTCTGAAGACCCTTTTTTGCCCAGTGTGGCTTGGTGAGGATGCAAAGCAGAAGCTGAACTAGCTGGCGTGTGCTCACACGTCACATCACAGGTGGAGTGTGAGGCCATCAGGTGGTGGGTCACATGGCCTTCTCTCTCAGCACTTGCACCACTGCAGACCATCTTTTGTGTCGACAGCAGATCTAGCATAATCTAAGTAAAAGCTCAATGAGTTCCGAAAACCAAGATTTGCTATAGGCATCTTGATGCAATCAGTTTACCCATGGTTTTTGTTAGCAGTTGGCCATATAATATGTATCAGACATTTTGATCTCCATAACATTTAAAAAACAAGTTTGAAGTACAAATACAGTTTTATATACTTAAAGATGACTTAGAAAATCACTGTCAGGTTATTGCTGGCTAAAGAGAGTAGGGGACATGCATGTTAAGGAAAAGGTCCTGGAGAAATACTACCGGTATCAAATGAATGATCTGCTTATTAGGATAGAGACTGAATTTTTCCCAGTGGCTTAGGGAAGAGGTAGGAATGTTCACTTTCTGTTCTTCTGTCCTGTAAATCAGTGACACAAAGAATTCTTGGTTTATTTCACATTTCCCTGTCTTATATATGGAACTGAGTAAGTTGTATTGGGGGGTCCGTCTCACTTGAGACTTTCTCATATGACATTTTATTACATTTTGGCTTCATGACTATTTAAAGTAAAAAGTAGGCAAAACTTCCATATGCAGAATTATATCATACTGCTGTATAATTTACTTTATTGTATTCATTTCAAAGTTCACTTAGAAGTCACTCTTCTTCCTTCTGTGATGGAATGGACAAGAATTTGTGTTTTCTCATAGTTTAATGGCAACAATTTTAGTCGCATCAGAAATAACCTCTAGTGCTGACCTTTTACTGATACCTAAAGCCTCTCTTCAGACAAATTTATCTAGACACAGTCATAAACAGAAGAATAGGTAGTATGCTCCTAATGGTATTATTTATATTAATGGAGTAAGTTGTAATGTTAGCAATTTTGCTGCTAATTTTTATAGCAGCCCTGATGTAACATCTGAAATTTTCTGACTTAGGCTGAACAAATTAGAAAATCTAAATTCTTATTCTTAGCTATAAAGCAGGAAGATAAATACACGAATTTCCTCAACATTTTCAAGTCAATTGAAACATGTGAGATACACACCAATATCTTCTCCAGGCTCTGACAGGCCTCCTGGAAACTTCCACATGTTTTTCAACTGCAGTGTAAAATCAGAAAATACAGTTTTAACATAGCATTTATTTACTAACACACATACACACATACATTCAGACTCCACAAAATCCATTCATAATTGGTCAAGGTAGTTGAGAATTTATTTTTTGGTAATTATGTGGAATTTTTTTCCCTAGTATTCTTCTTTTTCTTTTATTCTTTTTTTGGGGAGCTGGTGACTGATGAAATCTTTTCCCACCTTTTTTCTTCAGGAAATAGAAATGGTTTTGTTTGGTTAATGTGATAAATTCTGTATGAATTAAACATTGGAAAGAAACATCTACTGAATTTCTGTAATTTTAAGAGTTTCGCTGCTAGTTAACTATGAATAAATAGGAGAATCTTACAGATGCTGCTATAAATAAGTAGGAAATATAGTATAAATTACTAAAGTATGTTATTTTGTTTTCACATCTATTTCCTGAACTGTTTTTTACTTACATATTACTCTTAATTTCTATTGTATGTGTCAGTGATTTTATGTAAAATGTAATTGCTTATCATGGGTAGTGTGAATAAAATTGATTAGTTTGTGTTCTTTTTTTGGTCTACCATTTCATTGTGTTTTCTTGTTTACTATTTTTCTTTTTTGGTGAGGGTCATATGGGAAGTCTTATCTTGGAACAGGGATAAACACATAAGCTGATGAAAAATAACTATGAGGTGACATGGGACAGTAGTGTTATGGCTGACACGATTCTTTATTTTCCTGTCAGAGCAGTTCTGTCCGTCCATCACCATGAGACAAACCGAAGAAGGGCTGAGAAATTGCACTCACCGGGCAGCTACACCTTGGTCTAGTGCACCTTATGCTCTTCATTCATAAAACAAGTTGTGGCCTTTTGCTGGTTTGCTTTGTGACCCACTCATTTCCTGGATGAGTGATTCTCAGAAGAACATGTCACTTCTCAGCTATGCTAGGTTGGAGACCTGTGGCATGGTTCCCAGCGTTTCCACAGACTGCTGATTATGTGGGTCTGGAATCCAGGCTTTCCACCCTTCCGCATCTGGCTTAGGCTTGACAATGATGTATACAGCATATTATGTTTTGTTAGTGTAGAAGTATGTCTCTTAAGTATCTCTCGATGCCAGTGCAGTCTTTTGGATTCCATTTTGAAATAGGTCCGGAAGCTGTTTCCACAGAAACTGCAGACTTCTGTCTGATAGGATGTTGAACTGAACCACCATAAATTGTATTTCTAGCAAGAGAAATGTTATAATGGGGCAGACAGATGCTTCTTAAAAAAACAATAAAGTCAATGTTTAAAATCTTTACCTAGACTTGTCTACAAATGGTGAGATTAGCAGTTGACTAAATGTGCAGATATGAACTTATTAGAAGGGAAAATGCTAGACAGAAGGACTGAAAATGGCTCACACAAGTTTGAGAGTATTTCATAACACTCATATATGGAAAAACTGTATTTTTATGCTGGCAAGTAGTTTGTGACATTTTCTGGCACTATTTAGGATTAAAGAGCTTATTTTTTAGCTTACTTCTCCCTTAAGCAAATTTGAGCCTGAGTTGTAAGTGGTAGGTACAGGGGCCTAAGTCACATGGTTTGAAAACCCAGTCAATATTCCAGATGTGATCAGTAGTGAGATGAGCATGTCATCCCACTCTGTTTTCTTTATATTAAGTAGTCCCGTTAACTGGGTTTAGTAATTTGACAATAATATTAAAATACTAGCTAATTTGTATTGAAAACTTACAATGTTGCAGACGCTATGCTAGAAGAACATTTTATTATAAGAATTATGCATTTAAACTTCACAGTAATCCCATGAGAGACTATTATTGTTCCCATTTTAGAGGTGTTGAAACCGAGGACATAAAAACAGTAACTTGCCTCGTATATGATAAACTAAGTGTTAAAATTCAGGCAGGCTGATTTTTAACCATCTTTTAAGAAATTTTAAAAGTTGATATTTTCTCACTAATCCTTAATGCTGTTTCATATACCTCAGAGCTAATTGGGGCATTCTATGCAAACTTAATGAGATTATGTATCTAAGACGTATACTTCTCCATAGCCTGTGAATTTGGACAAAAATCTAGTGTCATACGTCCTCTTATCTACCTGTTGCCTGTGATTCCCATTTAAAGTCTTTTGACATGGGGTTTATTTCCTACTAGTGATTTATTATTCTATCTTTTGAATATATTGTTTTATGAGGAAAAAATTACTGAGGATGAGTTTTGGAAATTCAGCCTTTTAATTATGTTTTTCATCTGTGTTCTCCCTTCCTATAAAGAAGACAAAATATCTCCATGCTTCAAGTGTAAAATTCCATGATCATTTTTTCCCATTCTTAAAAAGGGAATTTTCCACACTTTTCTGAAAAATATGCTCAAAAGTTCTTATGCCTAGTTTCTCTGTTGGGTGAACATTCACATATGTGACCCTTCCTTGCTTTGAATCAGGTCATCTTGTTCCTTAACACGCCTGATTTCTATATACTACAAAGGTAAAATATCCTTTTACCTTGTAAAAATGTTATTTCAAATGATATTTAGAGTATTTCATTGTGTTTTGGAATGGTGACTAGGATGACTTTTTCTTTTTCTTTTTTTTGAGTTGGAGTCTCACTCTGTCGCCCAGACTGGAGTGCAGTGGCCGCTCCCAGCCACCGCAGCCTCGACCTGCTGGACTCCGGCGATCCTTCCGCCTCAGCCTTCCAAGTAGCCGGAATTACAGGCATGTGCTACCACGCCCGACTGATTTTTTGACTTATTGTAGAGATAAGGTCTCGCTGCCCAGGAGGGTCTCCAAGTGTGTGTGTGTGTGTGTGTGTGTGTAGGGGTAAATGGAAGATAGAGAACAGTGAGGTAGGTGTGGTCCATCTGTCACTCTGACATCTTTCCTTCTAGTGATTTCCTTTGTGATTTACCTACTCAGCCTTTTCCTTGCTGTAATCTCACTACTACTTATGATGAAGCCACAGAGACTGGAGTTTAGAATTTGTGCTAGTAACCGCAGGCCTTGCAGCCTTTGTATGAAAAGGGATCAGCTACCACCTCAATTGTCAAGACATCTGGCTTCATCTAATTTCTCTACCTGCCGGCACAGTGTGGCTCCCTGGTATCCAGGCCAGGATGGGAACAGGCAAGGAAGACGCAGCCCTTGGCTGGGATGGGAGGCTACTCCCTGGCAAGTCACACGAAGAACCCATCCTCTCACAAGGGGAAAACCAGACCCTCTCTCGAGCGGGGCCTCTGCTTCCCCTTTGCCGTGGGGAATCCACGTGGGGAACTACTTGAAGCATCATCTCGCATGACGAAACCCTCCAGAGGGTGTGTGCCCCGCAGGGGTGTTATTCCTATGGAATCTGAAAGAAAGTCTCTGGCCATATTTCACAAAACCAAATGGCAGTTACCCAAGACCTGGAAAAGCATGGGCTGCTCTTTGTATAGATAACGTGAAGATGCTGGGTCAACGCACTCTGGGAGCCCTCAGTCATGAAAGGCTACATGGGACACTTCACAATGTCACGAGCCTAGACCCAGGCGGGGCTTGGATTAATGCTGGCAGGAATCAGGGCTACAGTTGGATTTCTAGCACCATGGGGAGGATTTATGTACCATGAGGCTACTCTGAGAAATGTGACTGCGACTTTGGGTGCTCTTTCTCAGGGTGCTGCTGATGCTCTAAAGGCTTTGCCTAAGTTTGTTGATTATCTCTTGCTAATGTTGTAATGGGCAACTGATTCCCTTTAGGTTACTTGCTACAGGACTGGTTTGTGCTGCTACTGATGAAACCTGCTGCACTCGCATCAGCATTACCAGACAAGTTAGGAAGAGCTAAAGAAAGTCCATGACAAGGCTTTGTGGCTCTTTGGCTTTGCACAAGGAGCCTCTCTTACAAACACCATTTGGGACGCTATGAAAACCCCAAGCCCTCTGTTGCTTGGTTGTTCCTCTTATTGAACCTACTATAACGGTCATAATCCTGCTGACTTGGGGTCCGTGTCTTTTTAACTGCCTCGTGAAATTAGTTTCTTCCATAATTAAGCGCTTTCATGTCTACATGATGTGCAAGGATCCAACTGGTGTCGGCAGTTGGTGACACCACTGAAACTAACCTGGACGCTTTAGATCCAATAGGGAGAGACTTTCCATCCCTGGCTAGGTAGGGTAGCTACCTATCCTACATCCTTTGTCAGCTTTGAAGCAGTTACAGAAGATGGTCTTCCTCCCTCTGTACCCATATGATTATAGGATTAAGAAAAATTCCCTAAGGGGGAAAGTTAAGGCAGGGTAGCCAGTGTAGCTTAGACATAGGTATTTCTTGCAGGCAGGTCTAAATTAAAACATCTTCCTTGCTGGTACATGGTTTTTACCTGCCTGACCAGGCACTCCAGACCTGCCCACCTTGCAGGCTGGAACGTGGATCTACCAGTGCAGTGAATCACAGAAACCACAGGAAGCCACCCAAAACACAGACAAGGTGTTGTAAAAAAGCCCAAATCTGGGCAGGTAAAAAGGTCCTTCTGAGGTTCTTGCGACCTTAAGTGGCTGACAGATAGCAATCAGAACTCATGGCCTGATACTGCAGCCCTCTGCTCTCAGCTTATGGAATAGTTTGCTTGATGACCGTTGTAAACATTATACAAAGCTTCCTGTCAAAGGCAAGCACGTGCCTTTTCCCTTAAGGAACCCCTGTTCTCCCTCAAGCATGTCTTTTTCTAATGAATTCTTTCTTAAACATACTTTGGATTTGCTCTGAAATCGGTAAAGCCAAGAACCCATGGAGCCACACACCACAGGCCACCCGGCATCACTACCGGTTATGCTAAAATACCACCTGATACCAAAAAAACTACAGAAATTAAATATGAGTCAGTGTCCCACTGTATTTTTCTCCCAGCACTGTACTATGCATGAAGACTAAATCCATCTTTTGTTGCTCTCTTAGCTGGACCTTCAAGAAGAATCCAAACCCCACTCATGATATCACTCCTACCAGCCACACGGAAGCCACA